AGAATCAAATTAACTCTTCATGTGATATTATAATTTTATTCATTATTCCTCTCCTTTCACCTATCTGAACCGTGTTTATGTGTTATTATAACAAAAAGCAATTATCATCATTATTTAGCGACATAAAACGATTAAATACAATTTTCTACCTCCACTAATTAAGCAATAAGAATTTGTAAAAGCATCAATTAAATAAACATGTTGACTAGAAACCACTCTCATCTAGTTCCTAAATCAATAAAAAGTTTTTTCTCCTATTTGTTATTTTCTTTTCACCGACAGCCATATAACCAAATATATTCATAAAGCAATTCACTCAATCAGAAACACTCAAAAGAAAAACATGAGAAAAATTAAAAAAATTTCAATTGAAAGTTTTCCAAGTGCGTACCCGTTGTGTTCTTCCAAAGTACGTGGCATTTTCATGGGTGGCTCTGAGTTCAATATGATTTGATACTCCGAATAGCAGTTGGAGGGCCAACTGTTTGAGCATGTGGACGGTACTAAGGCCTGACTTGCTTCATTCTCTGGCACATCGGTGGCAGCGGCGATGACGGTGGTGCCGTCCAGATGTTGCTCTTCTGGATGCCGGACATATGCATCATTCTCCAGCACATCATCACCGGCGGCAGTTGCAGCGTCTAGCAGTTGCTCTTCAAGATGCCGAACATATGCATCATTCGCCGGCACATCATCGACATCCGTCGTGATGTCTAATAGTTGCTCTTCCAGATGTCGGAAAAATACATCATTCTCCAGCACGTTGGCGGTCGCGACAGGATGTCGGTCATAGTCATCAGTCGCCTCTATTAGTAGTGGTTGCTCTTCAAGGTGCTGGGCATATGCCTCATCATTCTCCAACACGTTGACGGCGGCAGCATGTTGCTCCTCAAGATGCCGGACATACGCTTCATCATTCTCCGGCACCTCATAAGCATTGTAACGTAGCAGTTCTCCTTCAAAAAGTGCATCAACGATGCCATCAATATCCAGCTCCATTGGCATATTGTCTCGAGCCTGTAAGCACATCAATTTCAAATTCATATTAATCAAGATCTTTATGATATAATTACACTTTAATACCACTTTTGTTTATGCATAACTATATATTAGACGAGTTTTTTTTTTACATTTGAAAACAATATTTCTAACAATTTATGCTTTATACTATTTTTACACATATATTCTATTAAGTTCTAGAAATGATATCATTCTACTAATGAAAATAATTTAAAAAGTAATTTTCATAACTGTTTTGTTAATTATAATTAAAAGTAATAATTATTTTTTCTCCTCACCCCAGAAGACCCTTTTCCCTACCTTGATCCTATTTTGCTGACTTGGATCAGTGTTCTAACGTATTTCGCCAAAACCTATACCTAGTTTTCATCTCCAGTAGTGTTCAAGTTTTACGTTTGAAAAGATTGAAAAATATGATACACACACACACACAACGTGGCAATGAGTTCAATCAAATAACAAGATGATCATATGGTTCATAAATGCTATTAATGAGATATAAATAAAACAAATAAACATAGCCAGTTCAATACTTATGTAAAACATAATGAACATAATTAGATATAAACATTTTGCCCAAGATATAGATATAGACGCTGAAAAAAATAATAACTATCGGATCATAGCTTCAACACAAATAAAATATTGTACCCAAAAATACAAAAACATAATATTTCAGATAGTTTTTCCACACAAAAAAAGGTACGATGCGACCAAAGTTACAATAAGAAAATTATATGTAGTTTTAATATGCATCTCGGAAAGTTTAAGAAGACCAAAAATGTGTATCAATTAGGATTACCTATGAGAAGTGGATGAAAGTTGAATTCTTTGACTTCAAGAGTTTCCTTGCGGAGATCACAAAGCTTTCTTGGTAGGAAGTTTGCACAACTCTAACTGATCACTGATGCCTATTTATATAATGTTTAGGAGAGAAGCATACAAGTCAAACCAATGTTTTAGTTAGGAGAGGTGAATCTGATTCGTTTTTATCAATAATGAATAAGTATATTTAAGAAAATGCGAGACGGACTTAAATTTAAATTAAATTAATTGTAGATAAACGAATTAACAAATTTCACAGATTGATTAACCATTGTTTGCTCACATTTTATTTATATAATAATATATTTTTACATATATTTTTACGTGGAAACTAAATGCAAGTCACACATTTTTCGGTTCATAGATAGAATTATTTAATCTTGAGCATTTATTTAATTTAGCATTCACATAAAGATAAGTTTTTTCAATTTATAAAATCATATATATAAATAAGTTAAAAATGTCTTTTACAAATATATGTTGTTGCGCCACAATCGGGATTTGGTCTCAACGATCATATTAGTCAATAGTCAGTTCCTCATGATGTTAAAACATCGGTTTCCAAATTCTGAAATTATCTAATTTCATTTGGTCAAAACAAATTATCTAATTTCAAATAGATATAATACGCGGTTTGCAAAAGAAACGTTTTTGTGTTATAAAGCAACAATTCCGTACAATAATTTTTTAATAAGGGGTTTTAATTTCACCAAAAAAAAAAAGAAATAGTTTTAATAATAAGAGGTTAAAAAAATATGTTTGAATTTTGCTAAAAAAGAAGTTTGAATTATTATTTTAAAAAATATATCTAAAATGATATAGTGGTGAAAAGAGAGTGAGAGAATAATTTGCTTGAAAATATAACATTCTTCGACTGTTCTCTAATTTTTTTTAAATGACAAAATATCAAAAGATATTCTGATTTTTTTTTGTTTTTCAGTACAATTTTTTATTCTTCGAGAACACATAATGAAAAACATATTTTTTCTATTTTCTTAAATAAAAAAACTGTTCTTACAACAACAAAAACTAATTAATAAGCCCTTAGTTTAAATTAAATTAAATTTAAAAAATAATCAATTTTCAATCTTAATTTTTTTAATTGAAGGGGATTTTAAATTAAACTATTAGGAAATTAACAAATTTCACAAAACTTCAAATATTTATTGACTTTTGTTTAGTTGATCTTCGTATATATAATAAGTTTGAAGCCAAAAAAAATTCATATAAAGAATCTGGTTTTAGATACAAAGTAAACACATTCAGTGAAATTAAATTTATTCAAAGTCAATATAATCTAAAGATTTGGTTCGTGGTTGTTAGGTTTACTAAAATTTGCAAATATTTTTAATCGTTACAAACATCTTTGTATGTTTTTAGAGTGTATTATATAAATAATCCAATGAAAAACTTATTTTTCTATTTTTTTGAATAAAGATGTTCTTAAATCACAAAATCCAATAGGCCCTTAATTTAAATTAAATTAAATTTCAAAAAATAATCAATTTTCAATATTAATTTTTTAATCGGAGGGAATTTTAAATTAAACTATTAGCGAATTAACAAATTAACAAATCTCCAAAAACTTCACATATTTGTTGACTTTTGTTTACTTAATCTTTACATACATGATCAGTTTGAAGCCAAAAAAATATTTATATAAATAACCTAGTCTTGGATACAAAAGAAACACATTCAATGAAACATTATTCAATGTCAATATAATTTAAAGATTTACTTTGTGATTATTAGGCTTATTAAAGTTTGCAAATATTTTCAAATTTTACAAACATCTTTGTTTGTTTTGTGAATGTACTCCTCCGGTCCTTAATGTAAGAACCATTTAACTAATTTGATTAGATTAAGGAAGTTAGGTAAATTAGTTAATTATAATAAAAGTGACACATTTTTTCTAAAACACCATAATCATCTTTTTTAATACCTCCCCTCCCTCTTCTATTTGATTATGGTTGAGGGAGTATCTATAGGGCTAATTTAGAGAAAATTGATAAATATGATAAATGGGTCTTATATTTAGGACCAAAACCAACTCAAGAATTGAGTCCTATATTAAGGACCGGAGGAGTATTATATAATTTCTTTTCTTGAGACATAAAGCAAGAATATATTACTCTAGGACCTGTTTGGTATGAGAGAAATGGAGAGAATTTTTAATGAGCTTAATCCATGGGGTTAACAAAGCCACAGGTCTTATGTTATTGAAATTCAGCCAATAACACCTGCAAAAATAAAAAATCAAGGATACAAAAAGAATAATGAGTGATTTCTCAATTCTCAAAACAATCCGAGTACAATAGCCTATGTTCTAAGGACTGTCTTGTGAGTTTTCTTACAGAGTTAATAACATAAATTTTTTGCAAATTTTCAGTTATAAATTTAAGAAGTTCAATTATAAATGTTAGAATATTAGAATTTGGAAATCAACTTGTAAATAAATATTTTAAATTTTAAAAAATGTGATAATTTGAATACAATGAAGTAAATTTTCTCAACTTTATTTGATGAGCTTTGAAAGTCAGGTAAATGTGGATAAAATCATGAATCAATTGTCCAGCATATGTAGTCTAAAATTGTTTTAATTTTAAACAGTTTTATTATATATTTATGGTAATATGTAAAATGACATTTAAAGGCCCTCTAAAAAAATGATTGACAATTAAAATTTTGAAATGATAAAATACTAAATATTAAAAAAAATCATAGTCCTTAGTTAGGATTACAATTTTCCTCAGTTAAATTTGTTTGCACCCATCATTTATATCTGTAGTACACACTTTCCAGTGCTCAATTTTTTAATAGTATTATTAAATGTTTTTAGTACTGAAGAATAAAAAATAATTATTCAAAATATTAAAAATAAATACTGAAGAATTTCAAAATGAGTGCTGAAAAATTAGAAAAAAATTGATTATTAAATGCTTTAAGTATTGCAAATATAAGATAATATAAAGACATAAAAAATTAAAAATTGAGTGCCGAAAAAAAATTAACTTAAAAAGCATTTTTAATTCCAGTAAAATGACTTCGTTTTACAAAACGCTGTCGTTTTGGTTCCATGGTCTTCCCCAATCCAGTTCCCTTTCACTTGACGGCTTGGCCTTTCCTCGATCCGTTGTTCTTCCCGGTTGAGGACCATGGCGCAGATGGATGGCGACAACCTAGTTCTTCCCGAAGATATCATGACCAACATTCTCACACGGCTTCCGGTAAAATCTCTAATCCGATTTCAATGTGTGTGCAAACGATGGAAAAATCTCTTCAAAACCCCATCTTTCATCGCTGAACACCTCCACCACTCCTCTCGTCAAAACCCTTCGCTTCTCTTTGAAGATTTTGGCAAATCTGATCCTTTTTGCATGTGTTTGCTCAATCGTGAGATGCAAGTCCTTGAAGTTTCGAACGATCCTTTTATTGATTTTATGGGGCTGTGGGTTTGTACCTTCGATTCCTGCAATGGCTTACTCTGTGTAGGAGTCGCTAGTTTTTCTAGATCTCTTTCCCTTTTATTGTGGAATCCAGCTACTAGAAAGTTGAGTCGGGTGCCTACATCTGTTAGTTATTTTGAAGATGAGGAATTCTTTGTAGGATTTGGGTTTAGTCCATCGGTTGATGATTACAAGATAGTGAAAATTCATGTTCCTGGGAATACTGGTCGGGTTAATCAAGTGGAAGTTTATTCATTAACCACAGGATCATGGAAGGAAGTGGAATTTGGGAACTTAAATGGTGTAGCTATGACCTCTAATGGTTTCTCTTATAATGGAGCTATCTTTTGGATTGGGTCAAAGCTAGGTGTGGAGGAGGATGAAGATGATATTGATTTGATAGTGTCATTTGATATAGCTATGGAAGTGTTTATATTGATACCATTGCCTTCTTCACCCTTTTCAGTTACAAATACCCCATATCCCAGATATCTTGCTGTATATGACAACAAGCTTGCTCTGCTTTCTCACACTTTGAGTGAAGACTTCAAATCGTCCTTGATTCATTTGTGGGTGATGGAGGAGGGTACTTGTGCATCTAGAGAGAGGTGGATTTGGACTAAGAAATATACTAGCTGCCCTTATTTAGGCTGTTTGTTAGTTCCAGTGACTATTTGGAAGGATGAAATTGTCTGCAACGTTTCTACATTGTCCGGACCCCTTGATAATATCGAAGATGATCAACAAAAAATTGTTTTTTTCAATCTCACGACCAATGAATTTAAGACGTTTCATATCCGCAAATCTGTCATGGGTTATGGTATTTTCAATTATGTAGAAAGTCTTGTATCAGTTGGGAACATTCATACTGAATAGCTCTGGTCCTAAATGTTCATTATTATCATTTTTACTTTGTTGAAGTACTTATGGTCGAAATGAACCTATAAGAGTTTAGTTCGTTGTGTAACTATTAGGCTTGATGTGATTCAGGTATTTTATCAAAAATAATGAATGCAGATATGCAATAACATATGCTTGTAGCTTTATCTGAATTATCTATATGGTATCAGGTCATTCAATTTTCTCTCAAAGATATATATTTTAGTTGTTGGTCTGTGGACTATTTGGGACCTTCTTATCAGGGTAATGTAACATCATAAGACCTTAAAAGAGAGTAACATGAACGGCCAAAGACTCCTAGGAAGTGCATATTCATGTGGAATATTCACAAACTTGGTCAAAGGCATCATTGTTGATGTAAATGGAAGTTAATCAGTTAGTGATGTAAATGGCTGTGAATTTTTTCCAGTCCAATCAGTTTTCAATATATGTTTTGAAGGTGATAAAAGTGGAAAAGCTTCAGATTTGAGTTTCATGGGATAACAACCAGCTGAACCTAGTAAAATCATCAACAATAAGTATGTTAGAGTATTGAGATCCACATATATGTGCGCGCGCGCGCGGGGTCGCTGAAGTAAATGATAAAAATATAAGCTTTAATGGCCTTTTGAGTACACACTGTGGTTACTGGATTTTCAGTGACATGACGCTGAAAATGATATTAGGATCCTTATTGGAATGTGACATATTATAAATTTTCAACATGTTCTGAACAGTTGAAAGTGAGGCAACTCCCAGTCTATAATGCAACCAAGCAAGTTTTTGGTTATCTCAGACTAGGGGTGTTATGAATCACCCAAAAGTATTTTTTAGAAGTATTTTTTTTTTTGGTAAAACGAGATAAATTTCTTCACATATTTATTTTGTATATCTTAAAAACACTTTTAAAATCATGCTTTTGATGATTTACCTATTTAAGAGGAAAATTACAAGTCTTTGATGCAATAAACAAATGTGCAGCAGTGCTGGCGAACAATTTAATTAATTTTATGGTTTTCTTCGTTCGAAGTCAATTTTTTCATATAATTTTATTATTTTTCCTACTTCTTACTTGAAATTGCTAATTAATTATTTTATTAGTTTTTTTTTCCTTCCTTTTGGCGGCACGAGAACCTACTTTTCACCACTTCAGATTTATAGGGAAGATCATGGGCCATCCCTTAGGAAGTATTTTCGGCCTATCAATATGATCATGGTTCATGGGTCTTCACAAATAGTTAAAACAAAAGCAAAATCTGTATAATTTACTTCCATTTTAAATGGGCTTCTTATAATTACCTTGTTTTAATTGGGTTTTATTGTTTGATCATGGATATATATATATATATTTTTTTTTTGCCAACAGAAATGCACGATATTATAACCATGTGAAATAGAATCGAAGAGATTTTATATAGCCCATGAAATTCATTGAATTAAAATTATTAGTTTTTACTTTTTATACACAAGGATGTATGTTTAGAATGAATCAAACTAAGGAACAATTGGAATAAAGTAATTATGGGAATCTAATTTAAAATTGAGATAAACTATGAGACTTGCAAATTAATTTTTTAAAGAATAGTAATAGAATACAATTTTTGAAAAAGGGTATTAAAAAGAGGAATAATAGACACAAATATTTAGTTAAAAAAAAGTTAAATGTCATGCTTTATTTTGTTTTTGCACTAATCTCATGCCACTTTAATTGTATTTGATTGGATGTAAGTTATGCGAGTGGCTTGACACGAATTTTATTCTCATCTCTTAATTTTTAATTCATTTTTGCATTTTTTTTATAAAATAATTGTTATAAGAAGTCATCATTTTAAAAATCAAACTAAAAACCTTTTATAAAATAAAAAAGTCTATTTTTATGTTAGTGACTTTGGTTTAACTCAAAAGGGGAATCGTATTTATTTATTTGAGTTTTGTTTAAATAACTTATTATAATGGGCAAGCATTTCAAGTGGTAATCATTTAATTTGCTTCAATAAAATTGGCTGTTGACTAAAAAAAAAAAAAGAAGTAAATTTTTCCCGGAAAAAAAAAAAAAAAAAACCACGCCGCAGAGTCTTTTACTTCTTCTTGAATAAACCTGAAAACTTCAGTACAACTAACCCAAAAAAAAAAAAGTCTTTTACCTCTCCAACCGTTTCCTGTAAACCTTAGCGCCTTTGTTGGTCGCGAAGGCTTTTCTCTGGAAAACAAGTTCTTCTCAATCGAGCACTATGAAGAAGGAAGTGGACGGCGACGCTCCAGTTCTTCCTGAAAAAATCATCAGAAACATTCTCAAACGACTTCCAGTGAAATCCCTAGTCCGATTTCAATGTGTGTGCCGACATTGGAGAAATCTCTTCAAGACCGCATCTTTCATCGCAGACCACCTGCACCACTCAAATCATCAAAACCCTTATCTCCTTTTCCAACGGGATGGCTGGGATGATCCTTCGAACTTGTATTGGCTTGATTCCGAGATGCAAGTTCGGGATTTTCAGAACCCTCTTTTACTCGATTACTTGAAGCGTGGTAAGATCGTTGGTTCTAGCAATGGCTTGCTCTGTGTTGAAATCAACAAGCATGATGTGTCTCCTCATTTCCTTTTAGTGTGGAATCCAGCGATTAGAGAGGTTAGACTGGTGCCCGAAACTAATTTTCATGAGGATTATTATCTCTATTCTGTAGCATTTGGGTTCAGTCCAATTATTAATGATTACAAGATAGTGATATTGTATGTTAATGAGTATTATACTGAGCTTTCTGCCGTGAAGGTGTATTCTTTAAGCTCAGGGTCATGGAAGGAAGTAAAATTTAGGCTCAATCACAGTACATGTCTTCATTCTCATTGTGTCACTGTTAATGGTGTTATGTTTTGGTTGGGTTCAAAGCGGGTTGGGGAGGATCCAGATGATAATGAGGGTCTGATTGTTTCACTTGACCTAGCAACCGAAGCGTTTAGAGTGATCCCCATACCTGAGCATGACTTTTTTTCAACGCTTGCTGTGTATGAGGAAAAACTTGCAATGGTTTCTGGCATCAGAAGCACAGGGCATTCTGTTATCCATCTGTGGGTAATGGAGCAGGGTGTAGTAGCATCTGGGGAGAGATGGAATTGGACTAAGAAATATACCAGCAGCCCTTATCCATGCAAGTTATATCCCAGGACTATTTGGAGAAATGTAATTGTCTGCACGGATGACATGGAGGACGAATCCACCGCTGTTCTCTTCAATCTCACTACTAAAAGAATCAAGAAGCTGGCCATTAGCAAATGTGACGATGGTCATGATATTTTCAATTATGCTGAAAGTCTCGTACCAGTTGGAGGAATGAAATCATTTGCAAATTTTCTGTAGGGTCTGTAGTCATTCATGATATTGAATGCAACGTGTACAGTGATTTAGCAAAAGCTATTCTATCTCTGTTCAATCTCACAACTCATGAACTCGAGATGTTTGCTTCCCAGACCTTTTAATCTTTATTACTTGGCTTAAGCACTTTTGGAAGTAGAGAAGAACCCATATCAAGTTATATTATTCTGTGCCTTGTCAAGTTTGAAGACCTTTTGAGATGTTATCTAGGATGATGGATTTAGATATTTTAGTAACAGATGTTTGTAGCCGTGTTTGACATATCTATAAAATTAGTTTCTTCTGTTTACTTTCCGAGACGGCTATATAGACTACTTGTTGCTTGTGCGTGGATTATTTGTGAGTTGTGACCTATTGCCGAGGTAAAATACATATATCCTATGAGAGGGGGAAAAGTGGAGCAAGAGCCAAGAGGACTTGTTTGCATTAAGAGGGTGTTTGGCAAGCTTTAATGCTCTGCATGGATAGGAAGAAAGTTGAGAGGAAAAAAAACAAGAGGAGAGAAAATAAAAAGAAAAAACTAGAGGGAAGATGTTTGGATGAATGAGAGAAGATAGAGAAGAGAGAAAGTTAATAAATATCTAAATAACTAAAATGTTCTTATCAAAATAGATATTTAAAATTAAATTAAATTAAATATTGTAATAAAAAAATTGTACTAACATTAACATCATCAAATAATTTAAAATCAAGTTATTTGGTTTTTATATTTTTTCATATTATTATGTTTTAAAACCAAATTATTTAATAAAAACATTGTTTTAAGATAAAAAATAAAAAGTGACTACTTTTTAAATATAACAAAAAAATAAATATGGAGAGGAAGAAAGAGGAAGGGTAATTATGAAAATCTTGTTTTCTTTTCCAAATCTCTCCATATATGAGAGAAAATAAGGTAGGTGATCCATTTTATTTTCTTTTCGACTTTTCCTTCTTCCCATATTTTTTTCCTATCCAAACAAAGGAAAACTTGTGTTTCCTCTCTAGTTTTTTTTCCTTTCTTATGTTCTCTCAATCCAAGCAAGGAGTAAAAGTGTTTTTTAGAAGCATTTTTTTCATAAAACGAGACAAACTTCTTCATATATTTATTTCGTAAATCGTAAAAATATTTTTAAAATTATAGTTTGCTTTCCATTCAAATACTTTTTAAATTGAGACAAAATTCCAATACATATTTTACTCACATTTTGTAAACCAAATTATTTGTGAGTTGCTTGCTTCTTTTATATCACTTATGCTTGTTCTTGCAAGTTTTTCCCCGCCTTGTTCAAGAAAAGATTTCTTTTATTGAAAAAATAAACGTTTTGACGAAATGTGGTAAAATTTAGTATAGTAAAAAGATAAAAGGATGAGAGTGATGACTCTTCATTTTGCCCGGGAATACTGAATGAAGTTTCTGCAAGTATTTTCCATTAGATAAGGGGCTCGTTGATTAACATCTTTTGTTCTGTTGAGGAGTGGGGGGGGGGGGGGATTGATGCATAAGCTTACTAGCTTTGTGAATCCCAAGCGTTTCCTGGGGAGATCAACGAGGTACGAGTTGAACAATTTCTCATGGATTCATATAACTTAATGAAAAAAACAAGAGAAAATTATAATTAAATCTCACTGAAAAAAAATAATTATTAAAAAGTTTTAATAACAATCTTAACAGACTGTAATAATAAGTTTTATATTAAAAATAATAACTTTTGAGACTTATTTTTTAATTTTTTTTGTGAGATTTTATTATAATTCTTCCAGGAAAACAACTATCAAAGCGGTTTTATTTTTCAAAAGTGTATTTACATGAATCGAGTTTTTTTCAACTACTCCTCTGATCCTTAATATAAAATATAATTATTAAGTTGGTTTTAATCCTAAATATAAGACTCATTTCTTATATTTATTAATTTTCTCTAAATTACCTCTATGATACTCCCTCAACTATAATCAAGTAAAAGAGGGAGAGAGGGTATTAAAAAAGATGATTATGGTGTTTTAAGAAAAATATGTCATATTTTTTATAATTACCTAACTTACCTAATTTTTTTAATCTAATCAAATTAGTTAAATAGATCTTATATTAAAGATATATTAAAGATACGAGAAACATAATATAAAATCACTTGACACAGTAACATATCTCTGCCTACCGAGATACTCTGAATTTGCTTTATACACGACTCTGCAGACTTGCCATCTGAAATATCTTGAAGATATCAAGCGTATCAGAAGGCAGACTGATAAGACAGAGAAATGACATGAAATTGCGAAATACCTTAGCAGGTTCCAAGACTCCTTGCGAAGCACGCCATAGCTAAATCCTTGGTTAATGGCGGAATGGTCAGAACAGGAAACCATTTAAAATGTGAGAAACAGTCCTGTTCAAGTTCCAGTCTGCCCCTTTCGTCGGACTACGGCACAGAAGCACAGAAATTATAATGAAATGGCTTCTGATGTATATTTTACGTGCTGTGCAAGCGACTTGGCTCTGGCATTTGGCAGACGAAAAATGAATCCACAATGTACAAACCCACGATCCGCATCAAGTTTATCAGAAAGGATAATAAAGGTAATGGTGTTGTCACATCATGATTACTTTTTTTCTCCAGAGCAAAATCTGCTAATGCGTCCAACTTCCACATATGAGAGATCAGCTTTCTGCATATAGCATTTAATAATGGAGCGGCCGAATGGAAACACAATGCTATGTGGAAGACACAATCGGAGAGTTCGGTGCTCGGATGAAAGCAAAATGAATTATAATATCAATTACAGGTGAACAGTCTTTAATGCATAAATAAAGCAAGCAAAAATACAATTAGTTCTCAGATAATACATTTAAAACATTTCAAACTAATAAAGAATGCTGTGACCAAATATATTTAAATAGTAGCTTTTGTCAGTTATCAGTACAGAAAAAAGCTTAAGCTAAGCCTTGCATAGCATTATAGCTTATGAATACGGACGAGGCTCGCTGGGGGAGCATAGGTTCCCGTGATTGTCTAGCTCTAATGTTAAAGTCTCTGTACCACGCTGCGACTTTTGCTCTGCCCTGAAACATTGCACGAAAACGGATGATTTTTTAATAAAGTGTCACATGTGACTTAGCCGGATGACACCAAGCCCTACTAATCTATTAGTCCGTAAACCACGTTCCCATGTAAACAAATATAAAAGTTAGTAATGCGTTGTGAAATGCACTTGTGACGGGGGAGGCTGGACGAAACCTCCATTGACTTAGAAGGCTTTCCTTGGAGAGATCTGTTCTTCCCCGGCCATGACTATGAAGCAGGTAGCAATGGATGACCAAATGCCATATCTTCCAAAAGAAATCATTCAAAACATTCTTGCGCGGCTTCCTGCAAGGTTCCTAATCCGATTTCTGTGCGTGTGCAAGCAGTGGAAAAATCTCATCAAGTCCCCTTCCTTCAGCTCCAACCACCTCCTCCACTCCTCTCATCAAAATCCGTGTCTCCTCTTCCTAATGAGAGGCGGCGATGATGCTTTGAACTGGCATTTGCTTGATTCTGAGATGCAAGTCCATCGAGTTCAGAACCATCCTTTGATTGATTATTTGAAGTGTGGTTGGGTCGTTGGTTCCAGTAATGGCCTCCTGTGCGTTAGAATCCGTAAGGATGGTATGTCTCATGACTCCCTTTTATTGTGTAATCCGACTATTAGGGAGGTCAGACAGTTGCCTGGAGCTACTGATGCTTTTCCACATCAGAATATACATGTCGGATTTGGGTTTAGTCCAATTGTTGATGATTACAAGATAGTGAGAATTTATGTTGATATTCCGTTTGATGATATGATTGATAAAGTGTTAGTCTATTCATTAAGGACAGAGTCATGGAAGGAAATAGAACTGGGGATCTTAGTTGGTGTAAGTCTTAGCTCTCATGGTTTCACAGCTAATGGATCTATCTTCTGGTTTGGTTCTAAGCTGGAGCAGGAGGATGAAAATGGTAATCTTGTTGGTGGAAGTGTGATAATTTCCTTTGACATATCAACGGAAGTGTTTACATTGATGCCAAGACCTGCTTTGACCCTTGGATCACATCTCAAGACGCTCACTATGTATGAGAAACAACTTGCAGTGCTTTGTTGTACTGCGATTGGAAATTCTAAATCTTTGATTGATTTGTGGGTGATGGAGGAGGGTACAGTTGCATCAGGGCAGAGATGCAGTTGGACTAAGAAATATACTAGTAGCCCGTATCCAGGTGTCTTATGCCCCCTGACTATTTGGAGGAATGAAGTTGTTTGCAGCATTTCAACTCGACGTGAAATGGAGAATGATGAACCAAACACAATTCTGTACAATCTTACTACTAAAGAATTTAAAAAGTTTGCTGTTAGCAGATGGTGTTGTGGTTATCATGTCTTCAATCATGTAGAAAGCCTTCTGCCAGTTGGAGGAATGAAGTTATCTGCAATGTTTGTGTAATCTAGACTCGAGTGATATCTAAGGTAAAGTGGAGCATGATGAATCAAAAACTATTCTATCTAATTTCTATTTTGGTGAAAGGCAGAACAAGAGGATTATGTTTAATTTATTATGTTTGTTCGTGAGTAGGAAACCTTAACAAGTGACTTCATGGAAGACTAATGATGAATGGAATATTTTGGCTGCCTATTCTCTTTAGCTAGCTTACCCCTTCAGTTTATCTGGTCTTGTTTCTCTTTCCCCCTTTGCTCCCTTCATTTTTACCTCTATTTGCATCAGTCTAGCATCAGTTTGATTGTTTTACATCACTGTGGTTGTCTTATCTATAATAACATATGTTCACTTGTCTTTCAAAGATGGATATATGCCACTTTGTTAAAGCAAGAAGTGATTCACTTTGGTTTAATACCTTAGTGTTGGGAGAGCATTAAGTTAATCATGAAGGTATTGTTGGAAAAATATATATTTTTAGCTTTTTTTGATAGCTTATCAAAATGAACTTTTTCCGTCACATCCGTTGTGTTTAGCCTATGTTCTCCCAACTACTCACTCATGCTTCTACCAACTTACTCTTATTTAGCTTAACTAGAATCACTGTTTTTTTCCGGGGAAAAAAACACTGTACAAAGTCTCAGAATGTTCTGCTTTCATCATTTCAGATGTACCAAACACAGCGCTTTCACTTCCTTATGAGAAAGTCCATCTTCCCTTTTGAGCACGATGAAATGCATGGTAGTGAGCAGGCCAAGATCTTCGATGCCTCATTGTTGTATTAGATATGTTCAGAAGACTCAATGTAATGTAAGATCTTTCACAGATTTTGATCAGTGTTAAGATTGATTGCTTCTATCCCATACAAACTTTGGTTTTATGTTTGGTTGGAGATGCATTCATGCTTCTTTGTTCGTTTCTGTGAGTATGGATTCATATTTCCAATGACTTCCATGCTGCAAAATAAAACTTTTTTTTTTTTTTGGAAAGAGTGACCTTTTGAAAATTATCTTGATAAAAATTGCTTACTTACATGAGCTCCTTTTTGCCCATATTGCCTTTAATGATGTATTGGGCGAATGGAAGCATAGTGCTCTCTGGCAGATACGCTCGAGAATTTGGTGGTCGGATGGAAGCAAAATGAATTATAACGCAGGTAATTAGTATAAGATGTAAATAAGATATAAAAACAATTACTTAAGTTAGTTATCATAATAAATTAATTTTATTTTTAAAAATTATTTTGTTAATTATATACTCTTCTAATTCTTAATATAAGACCCATTTAAGTAATTTGATTAGATTAAAAAAGTTAAATAAATTAGTTAATTATAAGAAATGTGACGTGTTTTTTTAAAGTACCATAATTATCTTTCTTAATACTCGGACTTTTTCTTCTATTTAATTATGGATGAGAGAGTGTCTATAGGAGTAATTTAAAAAAAAATAATAAATATGAGAAATGGATCTTATATTTAAACTCAAAACTAACTTAACAATTGGGTCTTATATTAAGAATTAGAGGAGTATAATGAAATTACCTTTTGAATAATCAATTATTACAATTATTACGGAGATTAGTGAGAGAGTAAAATAGAAAAATATAAAAAATAAAATAAAATTAAGTTTTCTATGTATGGGCAATTGGAATTTATAATTAATTAAGGACAGGAAGTAGTATCAATTACCGGTAAATACTGCACAAGTAAGTAAAATACAATTAGTTACTCCTCCGGTTCTAATTATAAGACCCAATTAACTTATTTGAGGAGATTAAAGAAGTAAGTTAAATTGGTTATTTATAATAAATAAGTGTTGTCATTCCTAAAATATCCTTACTAATTAAGTATATTGGCTAAAACTATCATATTATTAGAAGGATTATCTTGAAAAAAAATGTATAAATATAAGAGACAAAATAAATTGGGGTCTTATAATTAGAAATAAATAAAAAATCTAATGAAGTCTTATAATAAAAACCGAAAGAGTATTATCGTACTTGCTATTCAAATTGGTGTATTGTTAGTTTTAGCTTACGATTATCAGCGACAACGCCTTTTAACTTGCTTGACAGCTGCTGCGCCTCATATAGCTTTTGAATATGGCCTGATGCTTTGCCACCATGATGTTCAAAAGTCTGTACCACTTTTGCTCTGCCACCTGAAGCATTACACGAAAATGGACAACGTTTTGATAAAGCTTGTCGATCATATATTGTGGATGTTAGACAGGCAGATGTTGCAGTCAAAGTATTCGTATATACCTTTTTTTTTTAAATATAAAACTCATTTTATAATATAATTTATATTATAAAAATGGTCTTATGTTTATATTGAAGGAATATTTAATATAAAAATTAGTTAACTAGTTTAATTTGAATATATTAAAAAAATTAGTTAACTATTTGTAATAAATAAGTATTGTGTTTCTTAAAATATCATTACTAATCAAGTATATCAGTTAAATTATTATTATTGCAAGAATTATCTTAAAAAAACAGAATAAATATGAGAAATAAAACAAATTGGACACTTATATTTAAAATAAAAACTCATTTATTTGTTATTTTAATAGTATATTTGTCCTTTTTTGGCCAACAAGGCAACAACTTAATAGTCATCAATATTTAATCAAATACACCATAAGCAGTACGCATTTTTCCAGTTAGTATTGAGCGATTTAAAGGTTTTTTCCGACTGAGAGTTTAATTTAGAGGATGCTTGAATTAGCTTTTAGTTAGACAGAAATCACTTAATTAAAAGCTGTACGCTCAAATCCAAACCATAATTTTGAGAAATTAATCTATTTTGGACCCACTTTTAATGAACAGGTATTGGCCCACAAATACTCCGCTTTGAAGATTCTGAAAAACGAAAATAAACACACGACGAAACGGCTTGTTTCTTAATTTCTTGTATTGGTTCCTCCGATTGAATCCTGAAACCTTCGTCGATTGGGGGCTTCCTTAGAGAGATCTGCTTTTCCCTGGCGATAACTATGAAGCAGATCGTAATCGATGACGATGTACCCTTTCTTCCCGATGAAATCATCCTAAACATTCTCAAACGACTTCCTGCAAAATCCCTAGCCCGTTTTCAATGTGTCTCCGAACATTGGAAAAATCTCATCAAGAACCCATCTTTCATCGCTGACCACCTCCACCACTCCACTCATCAAAACCCTTGTCTTCTCTTTCGGCCGCAGAATAGCACAGGTCCTCTGAACTTACATTTGCTCGATTGCGAGAAGCAAGTCCATCGGGTACCAAACCATCCTTTGATTGACTATTTGAAGTGCGGTTGGTTCGTTGGTTCGAGCAATGGCTTGCTCTGCATTGGCATCAGTAAGGAGGGGGTATTTCATCATCCCCATTTATTGTGGAATCCAGCTACTAGAGAAGTCAAACAGGTGCCTAAACCTATTGATGATTTTGAGGGTCATTATTTACGTGTAGGATTTGGGTTCAGTCCAATTGTTAATGATTACAAGATAGTAAGAATTTATGTTGATGTGATATTTGATGATCTGGTTGAAAAAGTGGAAGTGTACTCATTAAGGACAGGGTCATGGGAGAAAGTAGAATTGGGGATCTTAGATGGTGTAAGTATTAGTTCTGCCAGTTTCACTGCTAATGGAGCTATGTTTTGGTTTGGGTTTAAGCTGGAGGAGGAGGATGAAAACGGTAATATTGTTGCTGGAAATGTGATAATCTCGTTCAACATAGCAATGGATGTGTTTGCATTGATGCCAGTGCCTGCTTCAGCCCCTAGATCGCATCTCAAGAGGCTCACTATGTACGAGAACAAACTTGCTATGCTCTGTTGCACTATGATTGGAAATTCTGAATCTTCTTTGATTGATCTATGGGTGATGGAGGAGGGTACAATTGCAGCCGGGGAGAAATGGATTTGGACTAAGAAATATACTAGTAGCCCATATCCATGCGTCTTATGCCCCATGACTATTTGGAGGAATGATATTGTTTGCAGCATTTCAACTAGACGTGAAATGGATGATGAACCAAACACTGTTTTGTTCAATCTTACTACTAAAGAATTTACAGAGCTTGCTGTTGGCAGAAGTCGCTATGGGCATCATATTTTCAATCATGTAGAAAGCCTTATGCCAGTTGGGGGAACGAAATTATTTACAATCTTTGTGTAGCATCTGAACTTGTTAGTGTTATTGAAGGCAAAGTGGAAAATGATGAACCAAAAAATACTCTTTCTCCGATCAACCTCACCACCAATGAATTCAATATGTTTTCTACCTGAGATGCATCAATGGTGTGGTATTTTCAGTTATGTAGCAAGCATTTACTAGTTGGCCACATCCGCATTGAAGAACCAAGATCTTAAGTATTTTTTGTTATCTTGCAATTTTCCAGTTTAAGGCCTTTCATTAAAATGACCTTATGCTTTATTTACTTTTCAAGTGGCTTCTATGAATCTGTAAATCCCTAATATGTAACTCATGGATGGAAATTATTTATGAATGGAATATTTTCGCTTCTCATGTTGTTCAGTTAACTTAACCCCCTCTTTCTTATATCTCCCTCTCCCTCTCTGTTTTGCACTTCTTCCCTTCATTCTTACCTCTGTTTGCATCATTCTAGCATCAGGTAGATTGTGTTTCACATCACAGTATTTAGCCCCATGTATTATATCATGTTGTTCAGTTCTCTTTCAAGGTGGATGCTTAATTTAGTTGCTGGTGTGTGCTTGTTAGGTCATTGGGAGTATTTGCTAAGAGTTTTTTGGTAAAGTTGATCATGCAAAGTTTTAGAATATTTTTCCCTCATCATTCCATATATACCGGATACAGCCTTTTCACTATGAGAAAATCCTTCTTCCCATGGCACTAGACAGGCATAGACCTTCTATGCCTCATTGTTATTATTTTGGATATGTTCAAATGTTCAAATGAATATGATATCCCTCACAGTCTCATATTTCAATCGTTGTGCCAAGATTGAAAGAATCGTATCAATGGGCCGCTTTTGATCAAGTGTTAATTTCTTGTCTTCCGTACAAACTCGGCTTGATAGTATATTAGTGATACTTTCTTGCTTGTTCTTCTTAAAGACTATGCGTTAACATTTAAAATTTTTTCACACTGCAGAACATCTTTTGAAAGAGTTTGTCCTTTCAAAATGGATTATCTTAAAAACACTTGCTTACCTTATTTCTTCAGCTTCATCGTATATTCAAATGCCTTTGTGTTTCATTCTGATGGATACATAGACCTGTGATCTTTTTGACAGCCAGAAGAGGCAAATTGGAGATCTCTTGTATAAGAAAGCAATTCATTCAGCTAAATTGCTCATTTGGTGCCCGTTCATGTGCCACTAAATGGGATATCTTTTTTCTGCTGGATGACTTCTCCAACATTACAATATTTCTTTTTTGTCCTACAAGACTCTGTAACTCTGTATTTTTATAATATCATTTTGTTGATTATATGTATAAATAAAAAAAAGAACAATCTAGGAAATCCAGTTTGCAATTTCATAGACTTTATGCAAGTTTATCTATGGTATACATTGACACACAATGTTGGGCATGGTCGGTCATATAACCCAAAAAATGGAAAGGATTGGGACAAGGTGCTTCCTGTCAAAAGATATTAGGAACAAAGGTGAGGGAACAAAATTACTATTGTAACATCAAAAAAGAGTAGCAGGTGTCATAATAAAATATTAAGTGTAAAAATACACATGTATATTTCAAAACGAGGCAAAAATACCGCCTCCGTTAATTCTCCCAAACGGCGGCTACTTTTTATTTTTGTGGGACCCACCCAGTGTTACATGCTTATTTGAGTTATTACCAGCTCACCCTAGCCTTTTTCTCTCTCCCTCTCCTCTTAACACGTAACCCCTTTCCCCACTACTAACACCTTCCCTTCTATCATCGTTCTCTCTCTCTCTATATAACCATTTCCTTCTATTACAATTCCCTCTCTCTTTTATGGCATGTTAGGACTAGACTTGCTCTGGTTACCTTCACCATTTCACCATTGCACCGCGGCCGCCATAGCCACCTTTGATGATCCTAAAGATACCTACAATCTTTGCGCTATTATCCCCCATTACCTCATCTGAGATGCCATCATAGCTGCTAACATCGCTTTTGGTACTCTTGATCTCTCTGAACTTGCATAATTGATTGGAGACTTGTGTTGTCTTAGCCTATGATTTTCTTTTTAAAACTTGCTTCCTGTCATTGATTCATTTGAGCTTAATTGTTTCCCTTGAGTGAATGAATCATGGGATTTCCATTTTAGTTTCATTGCCACGCAACAATGCTCGTCAACGGTGATAAAGACAATGAAAATGACAATGGAGAGTGCTCGTCCCTGATCAAAGCATGTTTTTTCCTATGAAGCTTGCTCTTGCGACGAAGCTTGCTGTTGTAATAATTCTTTCAACCTTCTCCTCTGCATGGGCGTCGTTGTCGAATAAGAAATGGGGGAAAGAGAGAGAAGGTGCTTATTGGGTAATTAGGAGAGAGAGTGCGGAAGGATAAGGGGGAGAGAGAAGAAAGAAAGGCAGGATGAGAGGGAGAGAGACTGACAAAATCAAAAGAACGTAGAGGGTAGCTGACCAGGACAAAAGTGGGTCCCACAAAAAAGAAAAACATAACAGGCGTTTGGGAAAGTTAACGGATATGGTATTTTTGCCCCTTCACCGTAGGAAAAATTAAGGGAAAAAGACAGAAAAATACACTCTTAATTTCAGAAGCCCAAAAAGGTCCGCTGAATTCAACAAATCCCAGTTTGGTACCATGAGACCAAATTGGGATTATTATTTGAAAGGAAAAGACCAAATTGCCCTTCATTTTAAATATTACTTTTAAAATATCACAGCCCCTACTGGCCGGCCGGCCACCGGACCTCCGGCGACGGCGGTCACCGGAGCTCCGGCGACCAGTCGACAATTGGTCACCGGAGCTCCGTCGGTCGGATTTTTTTTTTTTGAAATTTTCACAACTTCAATATAACGGTTAACAACTTTTGTAATGCGATTAACAACTTCAATATATCAATTAACAACAGCTTTTCTGGAAAATTCAACAAAGTCCGGCGACCGGAAACAATTTTTTAAAAATTTTTTACAACTTTAATATAACCGTTAACAACTTTTGTAACGCCATTAACAACTTCAATATAGCAATTAACAACAGGTTTTTTGAGAAATTCAAGAAACTCCGGCGACCGGAAACAATTTTTTTGAAAATTTTTACAACTTCAATATAACGGTTAACAACTTTTATAATGCTATTAACAACTTCAATATAGCAATTAACAACAGCTTTTCTGGAAAATTCAACAAACTCCGGCGACCGGAAATAATGTTTTTGAAAATTTTTACAACTTCAATATAGCGGTTAACAACTTCTGTAACCCTATTAACAACTTCAGTATAGCGGTTAACAACAGGTTTTTGAGTTTGTTAAAAACATTACTGAAATTATAAAAATGCCACTTTTTGAATTTAAAAACTTGTTGTTAACTGCTATATCAAAGTTGTTAACCGTTATATTGGAGTTGTACAAATTTTCAAAAAAACGTAACTGTTAACGTTATACTAAAGTTGAAAATTTTTACAACTCCAATATAACGGTTAACAACTTTTATAATGCTATTAACAACTTCAATATAGTAATTAACAACAAGTTTTCTGGGAAATTCAACAAACTCCGGCGACCGGAAATAATTTTTTTGAAAATTTTTACAACTTCAATATAGCGGTTAACAACTTTTGTAACCCTATTAACAACTTCAGTATAGCAGTTAACAACAATTTTTTTTTGAAAAATTATATAACTCAAAAACCTGTTGTTAACTGCTATACTGAAGTTGTTAATAGGGTTACAAAAGTTGTTAACCGTTATATTGAAGTTGTAAAAATTTTCAAAAAAATTGTTTCCGGTCGCCGGAGTTTGTTGAATTTTCCAGAAAAGCTGTTGTTAATTGCTATATTAAAGTTGTTAATAGCATTATAAAAGTTGTTAACCGTTATATTGAAATTGTAAAAATTTTCAAAAAAATTGTTTCCGGTCGCCGGAGTTTATTGAATTTCTCAGAAAACCTGTTGTTAATTGCTATATTGAAGTTGTTAATGGCGTTACAAAAGTTGTTAACGGTTATATTGAAGTTGTAAAAATTTTCAAAAAAATTGTTTCCGGTCGCCGGACTTTGTTGAATTTTCCAGAAAAGCTGTTGTTAATTACTATATTGAAGTTGTTAATCGCATTACAAAAGTTGTTAACCGTTATATTGAAGTTGTGAAAATTTCAAAAAAAAAATTCCGACTGACGGAGCTCCGGTGACCAATTGTCGGCTGGTCGCCGGAGCTCCGGTGACCGCCGTCGCCGGAGGTCCGGTGGCCGGCCGGCTAGTAGGGGCTGTGATATTTTAAAAGTAATATTTAAAATGAAGGGCAATTTGGTCTTTTCCTTTCACATAATAATCCCAATTTGGTCTCATGGTACCAAACTGGGATTTGTTGAATTCAGCGGACCTTTTTGGACTTCTGAAATTAAGAGTGCATTTTTCTGTCTTTTTCCCAAAAATTAATGTATATTTTTTCTCCTAATAATTTATTATACTCTTTTTTGATGTTATAATAGATAATTTTGCCCCTTCACCGTAAGGAAAATTAATGCGCTAGTTATAACTTCACTTGATTTTTAATCAGGTTTTTATGTTTTTTAACTAGTTTCTTATAGTTTAATTTAATCTAGTTCAATCTTAACGCTCTAATGAATTTAAAGATTATTTCAGGCTAATGGCTAATACCATTAATCATTATTTTGAAACGGTGATTGGAAATTAGCTAAAAGAAACTGAATTTCAAATGATTTTTTTCCCGTAAAAGAGACATTAGGCATTCAAATATCAAATTAAATTCAGAAATCTGGGTTCTACACCTGATCTTAGCCAAAAAGGCTAAAAAGGTTATTTGTTGTGTTCTACTATATCTAGTTCTAATTATAAGAGCTGATTGACTAATTTGAGGAGATTAAAGAAATAAGTGATGTTAGTTATTTGTCATAAATAGGTGTTGTCTTTCCTAAAATGTTATTGCTAATTAAGTGTGTTGGCTAGAACTACTATTATTAGAAGGATTATCTTGAAAAAAAAAGAATAAATATTAGAGA